CACACACACACACACACACACACACACACAAACACACACACACTACCAACACACACCACGTTTTTGGTGTCTTTAGGAACACCATAAACTTTGGGAGCTCAAGCAAGAGCACTGGAAAAGTCCTGTTTTGTTTAGGGTGGCTCTGAGGCTTCCATGACCAGTAAGTCCTAGGCAGGTAACCAGTACTTGGCACAGAGATTTCCATTTAATATCTCTGTGACTGGGAGTAGCATTATTGAGCCATGTGCAACACCTCTAATCAAAGTTTTAAAATTATACTTTCTATTATCTAGTAAGACAGTGGGATTTCATGAGGCTTCTTCATAAAGTCATCCTGTTGGTTAACCCTACCACAACTCCTCTTTTCTTCCTGCCCATCCCCAGTTGAAAATCTAGCACATAGTATTCAATAACCCATATTTAATAATACTTGTATTCTACTATCCTCTGTCATTGTATTTTTTACTTGTGTTACAAAATGATGGGTTCCCATGTAGCTTCTCTTGGACATATCATTTGGCTTGACCTTACAGCAGTCCCCTCTCTTCTCCATCCATGCACCACATATTTGAATATTCTGCTCAGTCTCTAATTTCCTATTACCTACATTATACTATTCATCCTCTCTTCCTGCATCTCCCCACTGAAGGGTTTTTTTTCTATCTTACTGGCATCTACATGTAGTCTTATCTGAACACAAAAAGCAACAAGTTTGAAGTAGGAAGCTCATTCTGATTTACCCATTTGTCAGTTGATGAACATCTAAGTTGATTCTGTATCCTAAATACTATCAATAAAGCAGTGTTGAACATGTTGGGAAAATTCTCATTGGAAAGATGGCAATTCCATGGAGTTCAGCCTAGGAGTGTTTACTGTGTATCAGTTTTCTCTGAGATTAAACACTTTCATCTTGTACTATGATCCTTAAATACAGGATGTTAAAAGCTACCTTAAGGAAGGTGATACCCCAAAGCAGTAGTGCTCAATCTTCATATTGTTGTGATACTTTGAAAATATTACTCTACTTGTAGTGTCCCCCAACTGTAAAATTATTCTTGGTACACTATTTAACTGTAATTTTGCTACTGAAATTAATCATAATATAAATAACTGATATGCAGGGTATCTATCGGATATATTATCCCAAAGGGGTTCTGACACAAGAGTTGACTGCCATTTTTGAGAGGGAAGGTGAAATATCCCATTATACAGAGAATCTCCAGAAACTCACAGACAACCTTATACCTCCAGGAAGTCACAGAAACTGGAAAGATTCATGAGTACCCTCCTGCCTCAAGCATATATAGTTAGTAAGGACTGCTGAAACTGTCAGACATTTG